ATCCTCTCCCACTACCTGCAACTGGACTTCCTCTCACTGCCATATTTGGTGGTGAGAAAATGTTTTTAACGAATGCTTCAGTTTTATAGCCCCTGTGACGAGTCTGGGTTACCCCTTGTGTCTGTGGCTGAATAGCACAAAATAATCGCTAAGGATTATGGTGAAGGTGGCCGTAACTAGCAAAGGATCATGGTGAGGTTACCTGAAAAAAAGATATCAACCGTGAGCCTCCTTGTGGGCCTGAATTTTCAGTCACGTGCAACTATGACGACAAATGTAATCGCACATTGTAGGATTTTTTGAATTTATTTAATTTGTGGAAAAAAGTATTGAAACCAAAGTCTCATACTTGTAAAGCTTTTTCATGACACAGGTCAAACGTTTTCTGTAAGTCTTCACAAGGTTTTCACACACTGTTGCTGGTATTTTGGCCCATTCCTCCATGCAGATCTCCTCTAGAGCAGTGATGTTTTGGGGCTGTCGCTGGGCAACACGGACTTTCAACTCCCTCCAAAGATTTTCTATGGGGTTGAGATCTGGAGACTCCAGGACCTTGAAATGCTTCTTACGAAGCCACTCCTTCGTTGCCCGGGCGGTGTGTTTGGGATCATTGTCATGCTGAAAGACCCAGCCACGTTTCATCTTCAATGCCCTTGCTGATGGAAGGAGGTTTTCACTCAAAATCTCACGATACATGGCCCCATTCATTCTTTCCTTTACACTGATCAGTCGTCCTGGTCCCTTTGCAGAAAAACAGCCCCAAAGTATGATGTTTTCACTCCCATGCTTCACAGTAGGTATGGTGTTCTTTGGATGCAACTCAGCATTCTTTGTCCTCCAAACACGACGAGTTGAGTTTTTACCAAAAAGTTATATTTTGGTTTCATCTGACCATATGACATTCTCCCAATCCTCTTCTGGATGCACTCTAGCAAACTTCAGACAGGCCTGGACATGTACTGGCTTAAGCAGGGGGACACGTCTAGCACTGCAGGATTTGAGTCCCTGGCGGCGTAGTGTGTTACTGATGGTAGGCTTTGTTACTTTGGTCCCAGCTCTCTGCAGGTCATTCACTAGGTCCCCCCGTGTGGTTCTGGGATTTTTGCTCACCGTTCTTGTGATCATTTTGACCCCACGGGGTGAGATCTTGCGTGGAGCCCCAGATCGAGGGAGATTATCAGTGGTCTTGTATGTCTTCCGTTTCCTAATAATTGCTCCCACAGTTGATTTCTTCAAACCAAGCTGCTTACCTATTGCAGATTCAGTCTTCCCAGCCTGGTGCAGGTCTACAATTTTGTTTCTGGTGTCCTTTGACAGCTCTTTGGTCTTGGCCATAGTGGAGTTTGGAGTGTGACTGTTTGAGGTTGTGGACAGGTGTCTTTTATACTGATAAACAAGTTCAAACAGGTGCCATTAATACAGGTAACGAGTGGGAGGACAGAGGAGCCCTCTTAAAGAAGAAGTTACAGGTCTGTGAGAGCCAGAAATCTTGCTTGTTTGTAGGTGACCAAATACTTATTTTCCACCATAATTTGCAAATAAATTCATAAAAATCCTACAATGTGATTTTCTGGATTTTCTTTTCTCAATTTGTCTGTCATAGTTGACGTGTACCTATTATGAAATTACAGGCCTCTCTCATCTTTTTAAGTTGGGAGAACTTGCACAATTGGTGGCTGACTAAATACTTTTTTTCCCCACTGTAGTTGTTTTCATCCTGCCTAAGAGATTCAACCGTGAGCCTCCTTGTAGCCTGCCGGCCGGTGATTGATCTGTGTCAGAACGTGGTCCTGTGTGACGACAAATGTACAGTGAGCTCCAAATGTATTGGGACAGTGACACATAATTTTTTGGGGGGGCTCTGTACTCTAGCACTTTGGATTTGAAATGATGTGATTACTATGAGGTTAAAGTACAGCTGTCAGGTTTAATTCGAGGCTATTTTCATCCATATGGGGTGAACGTTTAGAAATTACAGCACTTTTTGTACGTAGTCTCCCCATTTTAGGGGACCAAAGGTATTGGGACAAACTCACTTATATGTGTATTAAAGTAATCAAAAGTTCAGTATTTGGTCCAATATTCATAGCACGCAATGACTACATCAAGATTGTGACACTACACATTTGTTGGATGCATTTGCTGTTTGTTTTGGTTGTGTTTCAGATTATTTTGTGACTGATTTTGGAGTAACTTTTATTGTAAATAAGAATAGAATATGTTTCTAAACACTTCTACATTAATGTGGATGCTACCATGACTACGGATAGTCCTGAATAATGATGAGTGAGAAAGTTACAGATGCACAAATATCAAACCCCCAAGACACACTAATCTCTCGCCATTACAATAACAGGTGATGTTAGCATTTTTTTGGGGGGTGGGGGGGTATGATATTTATACCTCTGCAACTTTCTCACTCATCATTATTCATGATTCATTCAGGACTATCTGTAATCATGGTAGCATCCACATTAATGTAGAAGTGTTTAAAAACATTATATTCTTATTTACAATAAAAGTGACACAATACATTATTTACCATTCATTTCTATTGGGCACAAAATAATCTGAAACACAACCAAAACAAACAGCAAATGCATCCAACTAGTTTGTAGAGTCACAAGCTTGATGTAATCATTGTGTGCTAGGAAAATGGGACCAAATACTACACTTTTGACTAATTTAATACACCTATAAGTGAATTTGTCCCAATACTTTTGGTCCCCTAAAATGGGATGACTATGTACAAAAAGTGCTGTGATTTCTAGACGGTTCACCCGATATGGATGAAAATACCCTCAAATTAAAGCTGACTCATAGTTGTTGTATCATTTCAAATCCAAAGTGCTGGAGTACAGATCCAAAACAACAAAACATTTGTCACTGTCCCAATACTTTTGGAGCTCACTGTAGTAGTCAGAATTGATCACTATTTAATTAAATATCTCGATTTGTAGCGAACTTTCAAATAATTCACAGTGGGGATCGAACTTGATCATAATAAACACATTTTAGAGCCCAAAATGGGGTGTCTAAAACATTTTATTTGGCCGTTCTGACAATCGTAATTTACATTACATAGGCTTTCTAGGGGCACACCAGGGCTTTCTAGGGCACACCAGGGCTTTCTAGGGCACACCAGGGCTTTTGGCACCGCTAGTCAGAGCTTGTGACTTCACATTCAAATCAAATCAAATCAAGTGTTATTTGTCACATACACATGTTTAGCAGATGTTATTGCGGGTGTAGCGAAACACTGGGGGCCTGGGGGCCTGGCATTATGTAGGGAATAGGATGTCATTTAAGACGCACCTAAAAAAAAACAATGGATAAGACTAACCTTGCCCTATTGACCTCTGACCTATCTGTTTAGGAGTTCCATGAGACGCTGCACTCCATGTTGCTGTGGCTGGCCAGGGCTGAGAGCACACGCTACGCCATCCACATCCATGACCGCTTTGCACAGCACTCTGTCCTGCTGGAGCACAGAGACACACTCATGGTGAGGAAGGGAGAACAAGCATCCATAGAACCGTTTAGCACCAAATAACAGAGCATAGTGGACAGGATATGCCAATAATATAGTATAGCTGCTAGCATGGCATAGAAAGGATCACAAGCTGGCCTACTTTTATGTGCACAGAGCAATTTGAAAGAGAATAAGCTTGATTCTAAGAAAGAGCTGACCTATAAGTTGTAATAGTTACTGTAGTTGTCCTACTGTATGAGTGTGCTGACTGAGGCCTGGTCTCTCTTGTGCTCCCTGCTATGCTGCAGTCCCTGGAGGAGGAGTTGCGTGGGCGCCAGCGTCAGGTTTCCTCTCTGCAAGAGATCTCCTCCCAGCTCCTCCTGGAGGCCACAGCCGAGGACAGCATCGAGGCAAAGGAGAAGGTCCACGTCATCGGCAACAAGCTCCGACTCCTGCTGCGCCAGGTTGCCAATGACCTGCACATCCTGCAAGGCAGGCTGGTACGTCAACATTGGGTTATTTACCTATGCCATACCAGGGCCCCATCATCCATTTATTTTGTGAATAGGGTTGATGTGCTGTTGTACAATCATTGACAGTAGTATTATTATTGTTTGTAGTCTCAACAGGTTTGGTTTGGTGTGTCTGTCTCTCTGATTGATGATGTGACTGTATGTGTACCGTCTGTGTGTGTCACAGGAATCCTGTCCAACCAGCTCTGAGATGGATAGTGTTGCTCCGGGATCGCTCAGCTCTCAGCTCCAGCTGCAGAAGGTACGCCTTCAGTCACGCATGTAGACTGGTGCTCTAATGCAGAGTCTATGCAAATAGTGGCTGGCTGCTAGGGTTGTTCACTGTTGCGTTCAATCCAGCCTCCAAAGCTATTTACAGTGAACATTCTGTAGTAAAAGATTTACAGTGAACATTGTGTAATAACCATGGATTAGAACACATTTAGCATGTTTTCGCATGTCTACTGTGAATCTATTTTAAATGCTATGCTGCATTGACTGGAATGTGATCTAACGGCATGGTATGTTTGTGTGTAGGAGAAAGCTGGAATGGGAGCTGCAGGAGTCCAAGCCGCAGGCTGCAGAAAGTATGTGCTGAACTAAACGTCTGCTCTCTCACAACTTTCACACCTTTTACACCCTTTTAATTGAACGCTTTTTTCAACATGTAGGAACAAAATACCTGAGTGATAAGAACAGAGCTTGGGCTTGAATAGTGATGTAAATATGTTACTGAGAAAGATTATGCCAGTGTCCGTAACTGTCCTCAGCCAACTTTTTTATCCATTTGACTCTGTCCGTAGCCTTACTAATTCTTCTCTCTCCATCTCTCTCTCCATCGCCAGGGAGGAGAAGGGGGACTCTTCCTCAGCTCGGCCCTTCTTCTACAGGGTGCTGCGTGCTGCCTTCCCCCTCCACCTGCTCTTCCTGCTGCTGCTGGTGCTGGCTTGCCTGGTGCCTCTGTCTGAGGAGGACTACAGCTGTGCCCTGTCCAACAACTTTGCCCGCTCCTTCTACCCCATGCTGCGCTACACCAATGGCCCCCCGCCCACATGAGACAGCAACAACACCCACCCCCCCTGCACCCGCCTTTTAAAGTCCCCATCCACCACTGCCGGAAACGGCCCCGAAAAACACAGAGACTGGAGCCAAGCTGTGTTTCTCCACTCCAAATGTTTTTTTTGTTTTTTTTAAGTTGTCTAAAGTGAAGTTTAATTAGGTATTTATGTATACATATTTATATTTAATATATGTTGAGAGCTCATGAAGGTATGCGGCTCTGAAAATAAGAAAATAAGCCATATCATTGGTTCGGTTTGAAGTAAAGCATTTTTATATGTAGCGAAGATGTGTCGATTATTATCCCCGTCAAGCTGTTTTCCACATACAAAGAAATATTTCAAATGTTATTTTGATAGCTTTGTTTTATCATTGCAGATACTGTATACTCAAAATAATGGCCCATGTAATGGTAAACTGCAGTTGCTACCAAAGGATAAGAGTACTGAGGATATTGATCATTACTGTTTCTACCATTTTACTTAGGACAACCAATTGTAGATAGCACATTTTTGTACATATCGACTGAAAGCGATTCAGTTTTTGTCTGATTTAGAATCATGTACACAGTGATATGTCATTTTCACTGAATAATGGTAGCGAATCAACTGCAAACATGCCTTGCTGTAGTCAGTGCTTTAGAAAAGATTAGTTTTTTGTTAGAAAATATTTTATTCACACTACAGTGTCCCTATGATTTTGTCTGTATGAGTGCATTTGTACATAACTACTGACAAAGCAATGGTAAATGATTGACGATGTGTGTGTGCATATGTGAGTGAGTAACCCTATCTCCACAGAGGCCTTGTGTGTTTGTGGGCCACCCTGGGCTGATGGGGGATATATCGAGTGCTGCTTAGAAATCATTCTAGCACTACAGAACTAATCTACATAATGTTTGGATGTTCCCATCTGGAAGCTGCTCTTTTACACTTCTTTCCTGCTGTTGAATAATGTGAGTAAAATCTGATGCTGTCATAGCTGTAGAATGGAGTATATACACTACAGTACATGAATAGATAGGTGACATGAACCTTGGCAAGTCAGTCAGTCAGTGAGCAATGAATGTTACGGGGTACATGCAGAATCAAAGAGTGTGTATAGACTAGAGGGTCTCCTGTCCATATGCTCTGGCTTTCTTCACAAAGAAGGCTTACTCATGTTTATAAATCAGCAGTGGAAAAATGACAGTCAAGCTGAAGCTGATCAAAGAACAGTGTAAAACAATTAATTTACACAGATCCATTATTAGTGTAAATTGTCAAGTCACTCTGTACTGCTCAGTAGTACAATGAAACATAGAGAAAACAATGGTGTGTACAGTTGAATTAATTGTTTTATGCTTATTTATGGATGATGAATAGCTTGAATTCATTTTTACTTGACAATAAACATTGTTTGCCATGATCTGTGCTTATGTCAATAGAACTATATTCACGTTTTACAGCTGCTTTTAAGATGTTTGGTTGCAATTCCATTGGGGCTAAAATGCCTCGATATGACAAGCTCTGTATGTGGGTTTTCTATTAATACAAACATGACTTTGACATTGAACATCAGATAAACAGCACAAGCACCAAATCATTACAGAAAGGACAGGGCATGATCAGGATTCATAAGTACAAGTGTGCGAGTTTTAGCAGTTGCTGGTTTTTGTTTGGCTCCTGATCTCTCACATAAACTTGAATGGAGACTAGCAGTCATCTTAATCAAAGGCCACAAAATGCATCTAATTGAAAGGTAGGTTTTTACAATGAGTACATCATAACACATCCCCTCCACACATCCAGCATGGTATGAGGCAAAGAACACCCACAATCTGGTAAAAATGTCAGATACACTGCACATCTCATTGCTATAGTTCTGTTTGATAAATGATGTTCACAGCATGGACTTCATGCACCATTTTCCAAGTAAGCCAGTTAGCATGGTATGAATTGTTCGCAAAGACACTGATAAAGTTGAAAAAGTTTAGAAATATATCAAAAGGAGACACATTTTGACTGGTAGAGGTTAAAATATGTACTCATTACCAGCTACATTACCAACTGCATTATTACAAGGAAATTACACAAAAAATACAGTCAATTCACTGTTCCAAATCATTTTTTTTCCATTGACCAAAAACATCCAAAAAGGATATAACTGTAATATTTACCTCACAATGACACATTCTGCAATCTTTCTAAAGAGATTTTACTCTCGGTCAGCCTATTGAGAATGGTGTACACTGTCCCAGAGAGTGGACTTTGGTCCTATAGTGCCAGTCTGGCCTCTCCTTCAGTCCAGTCACCCCTTTAGGGTGCTTTAAAGTATCAGGCAGTCTCCATCCATGTCCCCCTGTCCCACGCTGTATCCTGTCACTGTTCCTCTCACTGAGGTACACATCTCTCCTCTCTCGGCTGGCCAGCACCCTGGCTGGATGTACCTGGAGAAGGAGAACACATTGGATTATGATTCATGGAGTATCGATAAATATACATTCTACGTCTTCAGTGGCTAACCCAACTTCATTAACTTACTCACTGCTCTCAAGTGTTTGGCTCTCCTCTGAGTTTTGGAATGGTAGCTGTAGGGATTGTGGCTGGAGCTGGGTGTCTACAGCAGTGGCTGGAGCCTGGGTAAGGGCTGGTGCTGCTGGGGGCTCGGTGGGGTTGTTGTTAGAGGGGTCATGAGGTGCGGACATACGGCTGCTGTGGGTTGTGTTGGCGTCCAGCATTTCCAAGAGCAGGTCATAGAGCAGCACGACATTCTTCTTCTTCATGCTAGAGAGGTGCTGCATTCCTTTGTTACTAAGGAGAGAAGAGAAGCATGGGAATGTCGTTTTGATAAACAACCCAAAACATTTGAGCGCGCAGCATTGATCCAAAAAAAGTGTCGCTGACTGAAATTACAATGGACAGATCTGCAGGTGTGCTTTTATGTCACTGACTGACTGAACAGACAGTGACACAGTAGACTCTTGTTGCTGCTAGTGAGACTGCTGTAGCTGTAGTCTACCTGACGTGGCGGATGTGTGAGAGCAGCATGAGGAGGTGGGCCAGGCGGGATGACTGCTGCTGGAAGGACAGGCCTCGTTTGGAGATGGCCCACACCAGGGCATCTGTCACTGAGTCCAGCAGACGCAGCAGCTTCCTCCTGCTCTCTAGATCCTCTGCCCTCTCCGGAGAGGTAGAGCAGATGTCTACAGGTGGACACAAACATAGACCCAATGTAACTATTCATTTATGAAGCAGAATCACTGGCAAACCTCTACCTGTCACACTCACATCACAGAGAGAGCATGTTCACTTACTTAAAAAAAAAAATCCTACTATCACTTAACATATCATTAATTTGCATTTGAAACACTAGATGGCACTGGTGGGGAGAAAATGCTTCGACCTACAGAAATCTCCTTTCATAAATCAGACATTCCACACAAGAATAGACATTAAATGAAGGCCTGAGGAATTGAGACATATCTTATTTCTGTCCAACAAAACGATTCTGCAATCCTATGCTCTGAGTTTCTAAACTAGATTTCTGTTGCACAATTTGTATTTTTCCAGCTTTTTTGGAAGAGAATCAACAGAGATTCTGGCAGTGATGGGAGCCAGTGTGCGTGGTGGCAGAGCTCTGACCCCAGTGAGGACAGACAGAGAAGTCAGTCACCCCACTGAAACCTGGGGTGAACAGAGATAGGGATAGGACACCTTGATCCCTGGGAGAGGAAAACAACTCGTGCTTTTCCATTGAGACAACCCCACACCAGTGGGCCGCCAGTGTTTTATGTTAATGTGAGCTATAGTGTTATCGTGTTTTCATCAGGAGTGTGACACTAAAGACTTGTGGCAAGCAGAATCAATGACCTCTGCATTATTCAAGACTGTTGCTTTGTGAGAAGGTGTTAAAATGCACAGTTAGCTATTGTTATGTAAATGCAAACTGAAAAGTACCCAGGGCCTTGCCTTGGCTCCAAGTTAGAGCAGGTCCGTGAGACACGGGTGCCGGCCCGTGTAGATGGAAACAGAAAAGTCTGATCCTTTTGGGTAAAACACTGGAGTAAATCGTTATTGGAAATGTGGCAAACGTGTCTAAGTACAAAAGTAGCTCTAAAGGTGCTTTCACCTCCAGGTCTCTGACTGGGGACAAACACACACTCAACAACCACACAGCCTCTCATACAGTACAGAAGTACTGATTATTTGACTTACTGGAGTTGAGGAGGATCATGGCTTTCAGACAGACGTACTCCTCCCTCTGAAGGTTCAGCTCCCGGAACCTAGAGGTGGCTGCCAGCAGCATGTCAAATATCTCCATAATGCCCTCCACACAGTTCCCCTCTTCCCTACAAACACACAGAGGGAAATATGCATATTATACATACAGTACAGTGCATTCGGAAAGTATTCAGACCACATGACTTTTTCCACATTTAATCGATTTTAGCCTTATTCTAAAATCGATCAAATAAAAAATGTTCCTCATCAATCTATACACAATAGCCCATAAAGACAAAGCGAAAACAGGTTTTTAGATATTTTTGCAAATTTATAAAAAAATATATAAAAAAAATACCTTATTTACATAAGTATTCAGACTCTTTGCTATGAGACTCAAAATTGAGCTCAGGTGCATCCTGTTTCCATTGATCATCCTTGATGTTGCTACAACTTGGTTGGAATCCACTTGTGGTAAATTCAATTGATTGTACATGATAAGGAAAGGCACACACCTGTCTATATAAGATCCCACAGTTAACAGTGTACGTCAGAGCAAAAACCAAGCCATGAGGTCAAAGGAGTTGTTCGTAGAGCTCCAGAGACAGGATTGTGTCGAGGTACAGATCTGGGGAAGGGTACCAAAAAATGTCTGCAGCATTGAAGGTCCCCAAGAACACAGTGGCCTCCATCATTCTTAAATGGAAGAAGTTTGGAAACACCAAGACTCTTTCTAGAGCTGACCACCCGGCCAAACTGAGCAATCGGGGGAGAAGGGCCTTGGTCAGGGAGGTCAACAAAAACCAGATGGTCACTCTGACAGAGCTCCAGAGTTCCTCTGTGGAGATGGCAGAACCTTCCAGAAGGACAAACATCTCTGCAGCACTCCACCAATCAGGCCTTTATGGTCGAGTGGCCAGATTGAAGCCACTCCTCAGTAAATGGCACATGACAGCCCAATTGGGGTTTGTCAAAAGGCACCTAAAGGACTCTCAGACCATGAGAAACAAGATTCTCTGGTCTGATCAAACCAATATTGAACTCTTTGGCCTGAATGCCAACCGTCACGTCTGGAGGAAACCTGGCACCATCCCTACGGTGAAGCATGGTGGTGGCAGCATCATGCTGTGGGGATGTTTTTCAGCAGCAGGGACTGGAGACTAGTCATGGTCGAAGGATAGATGAACAGAGTACAGAGAGAGATCCTTGATGAAAACCTGCTCCAGAGTGCTCAGGACCTCAGACTGGGGCGAAGGTTCACCTTCCAACAGGACAACGACCTTAAGCACACAGCCAAGACAACACAGGAGTGGCTTCGGGACAAGTCTCTGAATGTCCTTGAGTGGCCCGGACTTGAACCCAATCGAACATCTCTGGAGAGACCTGAAAATAGCTGTGCAGCGACGCTCCCAATCCAACCTGACAGAGCTTGAGAGGATATGCAGAGAAGAATGGGAGAAACTCCTCAAATACAGGTGTGCCAAGCTTGTAGCGTCATACTCAAGACTTGAGGCTGTAATCGATGCCAAAGGTGCCTCAACAAAGTACTGAGTAAAGGGTCTGACTACTTATGTAAATGTGATATTTCATTTATTTATTTATTTAACAAACAAATCAAATAACCTGTTTTTGCTTTGTCATTATGGGGTATTGTGTGTAGATTGATGAGGGGAAAAAACAATTTAATCCATTTTAGAATAAGGCTGTAAAGTAACAAAATGTGGAACAGTCAAGGGGTCTAAATACTTTCCGAATGCACTGTACATTATTCATATCATATAACAGTATGTTACCCACATACTGTAATAAAAACAATCTCAGTAATGGAGATGAATGGAAAGTCAGATGAAAACGCTGACCCATTTGTCTACTTTATGTGTTTTTCATGGCAGCCTCAGGAGACAGTGCCAAAGCCACACAATGGCCAGAGGACTGTGAACAATAAGTCCCATGTTATGGGAACACGTCAAGGTTAGCTAAGCCTATAGTGATAGTCGCCGTGGTAGTGGAAAAGGTGAAACACTACTCAACCACACCAACCCACACAACAAAACACACACTCACAGACACGTACACTGGCATAAGGCTTCAGACACGTAAACTCAAAGATAGGCAAATAAATATAGGAGCACATGTGCACACCTGCTGTATTCAAAAGCCACACACCTCCTTAGACAAGTTAGTAGCACACACACTCACATATAGACAAGTAGTACAAGCACTCACACATCCAGTATACTGTATCTTAGTCTCAGGGGTGAGATCATTCTCCTCAAGGCCAATAAATCCTCTAACCTTCTGGACTGATCAGATTCACCCAACACCAGAACTACAGCTAAATAACCGACATTCAATGCTTAACAAACCCCAACGTTAAAGTTTTTTAGGCTTATTATACACATGTATAATTCTGACAAACAAAGTGGGACGTGTGATTTATGGACACAAAACTTTTGTTTACTGACAATTCAAAAATGAGCTTTGTCAGCAAAGTCAGACTTTGATATTGCCTAAGTTCAAAGTCAAACAAAACTCACAATTTTAACTTAAATTTGAAAATATTCTGTTCAATCGTACAACGACTGTATGTTTGAAGCAAACATTGATATCGGTATTATTGCATTTTCAGATAGCTCATAGATTTATGGGAGGTTAACTTCAGCAATTTTTAGGGAGAACACACTGTAACACTATCATTCTTATCAGTACCCACGCACACAGACATAGTGAATAATGCTGGTCCCAGAGGGTACTGAGAATGTGAGAGCATTCTTTGCCAGGCGTATTGGTGAAAGCTAATGAGCCTGAGCCTGTGGGAGTGACCAGTGAAAAAGGAGAGGCAACCCCAAGGCCTGTCTTTCTAACACAACACCACATATTAAAACACATGCTTTTAACTGGACAAATAGTTTAAAAAAACATGATTTAAAAACAATTATTTTGCATAGTTTGGTATTTTCTAGATAAAAAAGGATGAACTTAATACTGACCAAGATACTTTCATTTATGGGCTATTCTAACATAATTGAAAACCACAAGCATTTCGCTACACCCGCTATAACATCTGCTAAACACGTGTATGTAACAAATAAAAGTTGATTTGATTTGACAGGAAATTCATTATGCCAAACTACTTTACTTGAAGACGTGATATTTAATCTTATACCAGTATACTGTATTTTGGAGCTTAGTAGTAAAGCATAAGCAGTTGTACCTGTTGAGCTTTAGGTCTGGTGAGAAGATGAGTTTCCCAGGGTGGTCGACAGACCTCCACATCAGACCCAGCATCAGCACCTCCAGCCAGCAACACTCCAACAGGTGCACCTGGTCCGTCAGACTCAGCTCTACAAAGCCTGTAGTACACACAAACGCACACGCTCGCGTGCATGCACACACACACGCACACACACACAGATGAAAAGAAAGTGGGGGAAATGAGTGTTCATTGTTCACTGTAGCTATTGTATAGCTTTACTAGGACTGAGTCCGGGAACCTGAGAACATACAAAGAACTAAAGGACCCCTAACTTTAGAGGGACTAATAAAGGACAGATTAAATGAATAGTCGAGCTCTCACACACTAGGGACACCACAAGCTCCCAGCAGTCTTAGTTGGTACAAGTACTGAAGGATGGACATTGGAACAAAGCCGAATACTGAGGCACCTTGCAATGATGAAACAAAAATCCACAATGCATATCTAGTCTGTTGAGTTTTTGTTCTTCTTTATAGCAGACAATACAAGCTAATTGTCACATCTCCTTCTTTCACCAAACCCCCAAAACCCCATCTCAGACAAGAGAGTGTGTGAACTCAGTTCCCTCTCCCCTGAGAGGGCACCTGCTGGGCTCACCTCCCTGAGTGAGGAGGGAACAATGCTTTCCAGCAGGGTAGAGAGGAGAGGAGTAGTAACCCCTTCATGGCCTGTGTGATATTCTGTCCAACAGGACTAGACAGCCGTGTGCCTGGCTGCAGTACTGTCTGTGGCATAACGAGAAGGCTAAGGGCCAACTACTACAGTACTGAACACGTTTAGTTAAATATACAAGTAGGGTAGGGTGTGAAGGGTTTACAGCCAGACAGCTAGTCTTTCTTTCTTTAGACAAATACAGTACCAGTCAAAAGTTTGGCCACACCTACTCATTCCAGGGATTTTCTTTATTTTTACTATTTTCTACATTGTAGAATAATAGTGAAGACATCAACACTATGAAATCGCATATATGGAATCATGTAGTAACCAAAAAAGTGTTCAACAAATCAAAATATATTTTATATTTGAGATTCTTCAAAGTAGCCACCCATTGCCTTGATGACAGCTTTGCACAATCTTGGCATTCTCTCAACCAGCTTCATGAGGACTGCTTTTCCAACCGTCTTGAAGGAGTTCCCACATATGCTGAGCACTTGTTGGCTGCTTTTCCTTCACTCTGCGGTCCAATTCATCCCAAACCATCTCAATTGGGTTGAGGTCGGTTGATTGTGGAGGCCAGGTCATCTGATGCAGCACTCCATCACTCTCCTTACTGGTCAAATAGCCCTTACACAGCCTGGAGGTGTGTTGGGTCATTGTCCGGTTGAAAAACAAATGATAGTCCCACTAAGCCCAAACAAGATGGGATGGTGTATCGCTGCAGAATGCTGTGGTAGCCATGCTGGTTAAGTTTGCCTTGAATTCTAAATAAATCACTGACAGTGTCACCAGCAAAGCACCCCCACACTATCACACCTCCTCCTCACACCTCCTCCTCCATGCTTCACGGTGGGAACCACACATGCGGAGATCATCCATTCACCTACTCTGCGTCTCAAAAAGACACGCGGTTGGAACCAAGAATCTCAAATTTGGACTCATCAGACCAAAGAACAGATTTCCACTGGTCTAATGTTCATTGCTCGTATTTCTTGGTCCAATCAAATCTCTTCTTCTTATTGGTGTCTTTTAGTAGTGGTTTCTTTGCAGCAATTCGACCATGAAGGCCTGATTCACACAGTCTCCTCTGAACAGTTGATGTTGAGATGTGTCTGTTACTTGAACTGTGAAAAATGTATTTGGGCTGCAATCTGAGGTGCAGTTAAATCTAATGATCTTATCCTCTGCAGCAGAGGTAACTCTGGGTCTTCCTTTCTTGTGGCGGTCCTCATGAGAGCCAGTTTTATCATAGCGCTTGATGGTTTTTGCGACTGCGCTTGAAGAAATGTTCAAAGTTCTTGAAATGTTCCGGATTGACTGACCTTCATGTCTTAAAGTAATGATGGACTGTCATTTCTCTTTGCTTATTTGAGCTGTTCTTGCCATAATTTGGACTTGTTCTTTTACCAAATAGGGCTATCTTCTGTATACCATCCCTACCTTGTCACAACACAACTGATGGCTCAAACGCATTAAGATATAAATAAATTCCACAAATTAACTTTTAAGAAGGAACACATGTTAATTGAAATGCATTCCAGGTGACTACCTCATGAAGCTGGTTGAGATAATGCGAAGAGTGTGCAAAGCTGTCATCAAGGCAACGGGTGGCTACTTTGAAGAATCTCAAATATAAAATATATTTTGATTTTGTTGAACCCTTTTTTGGTTACTACATGATTCCATTTGTGTTATTTCATAGTTGTAATGTCTTCACTATTATTCTACAATGTAGAAAATAGTAAAAATAAAGAAAAACCCTTGAATGAGTAGCTGTGTCCAAACTTTTGACTGGTACTGTACCTATCTTACATATAGACCTGGGACACAACCCAGCCTTGCACATATGCTGCACGCTCACAGACAGAATGACAGACAGACAGACAGGCACACACACACACACACACACACACACACACACACACACACACACACAAACACACACACACACACACACAACACCACACACACACACACCACACACACAAACACAGACAGACAGACAGACAGCAGGACAGACAGACAGACAGACAGACAGACAGAAGACAGACAGACAGACAGGAAAGACAGACAGGACAGACAGACAGACAGACAGACAGACAGACAGACAGACAGACAGACAGACAGACAGACAGAAGAAGACAGACAAGACAGACAGACAGAAACAGACAGACAGACAGACAGAAGACAGACGACAGGAAGGCAAGGCAGGCAGACAGACAGACAGACAGGACAGAAAGACGAAGACAGGCAGGCCACGCACGCACAGCACTCACACACACACACACACACACACACACACCACACACACACACACACACACACACACACACACACACACACACACACACACCCTCCAGGTGTCTCACCAGGGATCTTCTTGGCCCAGCTGATCATGAGGACCAACTCCTTGTCGGCCAGGTTGGTGAGTGACATCATCATGCTGGCCTCAGTGAAGGGCTTCTTCAGGTCCTCCATCAGGTAGATCTCTGGGGGCTCCGCCTCCATGATGCAGGAGATCAGCTGTTCTGGGGTCAGGGACGAGTGCTGCACCTCCAGCTGAGGGTGGGAGCCCCCCTCCAGACGCATCTGGGCCCTGGCCCCTACCCCCACCAGCCCGCCTGGCGCCCCCCGCCCCTGAGGTCCACGCCGGTGCCTTGCCCCCCGGTAACTGCAGCGCTCTCGCCTCACACCTGGACAACAACACAGACAAGCAACAGAGAGGTTTCACTCCTACAGATACTGTACCTTTACAAGCTCACAGTATCTCTTGCCAAATGTTCTATTGACTACATAAGGTTAGGTTTCACAACACAACTAATGGGAGAGATAAGGAAGACGGCTGCCTACCACACTTCATCATGCCAACTTCATAACACTTGCGTAGGCGGCAGGCCTGGCAGCTTTTACGGCGGTTCTTGTCGATAGTGCACTGGTTAGTCGCTGGACAAATATAATCATTGTGGCCTAGATGAGATAGATGGAGACAGTAGGAGATATTACATGTATGTACTATACATCACATCCGATCAACCTTATTCAGCGTTCCCCCTAGGATTTCTTTCAGCAGCGCTGTCCAATTTGGCGTGGTAGTGGCCAATGGCACTGTCTCCGACATACATTTTAGAGGCCCTCATCTTGGCGGCAGAGGCTAAAGGTTGCTGTTTTAAAGCTAGTTTCTTGCAATTCTACACATTTTCTTATGCTATCTGAGTGACTCAAACATTATAACAAAATCAATGGGGGCCCCATGCCATGACATTTGGGGAATTTTTGATTCTCCCTGACGGTCTAGTTTTTAATTTGGTGATTGTTAGTTCTCAAAGATGATCTTATTTTTAAAAATATACAGCTCCATTATCTTTGCTACATACTTTATATCTGGTTTGAGTTGTTTAAGTTTACACTGAAAACATTTTACCATCCAGAAAATTATATATATTTTTTCATATATTTTTGGGAGTGGCAGACCTGATGAGGTCTTAGCACAGAACACAGTGATCAGATCAGACCCTACAGGGCACTGAGACAGAGGGTGGCCACCATGACCCCAGTCCCTAGGGTAGACATGGTAATGACACCACACAGCTCCCCTAGTGGTCCTACCTTGGATGCTCCTCTTGAAAAAGGCCTTGCAGCCCTCACAAGACCACACACCGTAGTGGTAGCCCGAAGCGTAGTCATGACACACGGCACAGAAGTGCATGTCTGTCTTCACCACCACACAGCTGGCTGGGGCGGAGTTCACTTCCTCTCCGTCCTCCAGTCTCTTCCCCAGCAGCTTGGTAGGTTGGAGTAGAGGGCTATGAGAAGGAACGTCAATCACAATGTTTAACAAACAAACTCCAGTAGGAGCCTCAGTTTTGCTAAGAGGCTGTCTCCTATTGTTTACCCATCTGAGGTGCTATAGGAGACAAGAAAAGGTCAAATAAGACAGGTGTTGTAGCTACCTGCTGGGGCTGAGGCCGTGGGGTTTAGGCTCCACCCAGGGGGCATGGTGGTTATGCTCACTGTACACCAGGGGCTGGGGGCAGTGCAGGGTCAGCGAGGGCATGTTGTGCTGGCCGTGGCCATGGGGGGGCCAGAAGAGAGAGGGACTGAGGGGGGGACATAGAGAGGGGCTGTCGGAGATAGGTGGTCTGCTGTAGCCAAGCATAGAGGGGTTGTAGAAGGCTAGGGGTCCGTGGCTGTGGCTGTAATCATGGCTGTTGTCTGTGTAGGGAGAGGGGATGCAGAATGTACGGCCCTCCATGCCGCTCGGGGGGCTGTAGAGGGTGGGCAGGAGTCCCGGGGAGCTCCCCCTCTCTTGGGCCTTGCTGGAGCCCACATCCTGGAGCTGGAGCAGGGAAGAAATGTCTGTCCCACTCTCAGGAGAACAGGCCATACTGGGGATAACGTTGGGCGGACGTTGGGCTGATGTTGTGGCTGCTGCTGTCTATTGCATCCCTCACTGGGACCAGTCAGAGCGAAAAAGTAATACTGAAGCAGGGAGGGAGGGAGGGAGGGAGGGAGGAGGGGAGGAGGGAGGGAGGGAGGGGAGGGAGGGAGGGAGGGAGGGAGGGGAGGGAGGGAGGAGGAGGGATGGAGAGAGGGATGGGAGGGAGAGAGAGAGGGAGGAGGGAGGGATGGAGGGACGGGATGGAGGGGAGGGATGGAGAGAGGGAGGAGGGAGGGAGGAGGAGGAGAAGGAGGGAGGGAGAAGAGGGGGGAGGGAGGGAGGGGATGGAGGGAGGGCTGGAGGGAGGGATGGAGAAAGGCGATGGAGGGAAGGAGGGATGGAGGGATGGATGGGGCAGGGATGGAAGAGAGGGATGGAGGGAGGGAGGGAGAGAGGGCATGGAGAGAGGGAGGGATGGGAGGGAGGGAGGGGAGGAGGGAGGAGGGAGGATGGAGAGAGGGATGGAGGGAGGAGGAGGAGGGATGAGGGAGGGATGGAGGGAGGGATGGAGGGAGGGATGGAGGGAGGGAGGGATGGAGGAGGGAGGAGAGAGGGATGGAGGAGAGGGATGGAGAGAGAGGGATGGGAGAGAGGTGGAGGGAGGGAGGGAGAGAGGGATGGAGGGAGGGATGGAGAGGGAGAGGGAGGGGAGGGAGGGGGAGAGATGGGAGGAGGAGGGATGAGGGAGGGAGGAGAGAGGGATGGAGGGAGGGAGGGATGGAGAGAGGGATGGAGGGAGGGAGGGGAGAGAGGGATGGAGGGAGGGATGGAGAGAGGGATGGAGGGAGGGATGGAGAGAGGATGGGGAGGGATGGAGAGGAGGGAGGAGTGAGGGATGGGATGGAGGGGAGGAGGGATGGAGGGAGGGAGGGATGGAGGAGGGAGGGAGGAGGAGAGGGATGGAGGGAGGGGGGGATGGAGAGAGGGATGGAGGGAGGGATGGAGAGAGGGATGGAGGGAGGGATGGAGAGAGGGATGGAGGGAGGGATGGAGAGAGGGATGGAGAGAGGGATGGAGAGAGGGATGGAGGGAGGGATGGAGGGAGGGATGGAGAGAGGGATGGAGAGTGTATACAGAGTCACACTCAAATACCACATAGATATTCTCAAGTGCACACAGTCACTCAACAAAATAATGTTGTGTTCACTCTTCATACATACTCAACAAAAACTACATGATCATAGCTGTTTATTTGAAGAAAATGATTGTTGACATTGCTCAGAGTTAGAACAGTTTCAATTGCAAACCCTGAGTAGTAAATAGTTGTAATATATCCTGCTCACATTGAGCCTGTAAAAGGACAGATGCAACACGAAAGACGCATGAATGTATTTAATTTGGTCTCAAACCTTGTCTAGACTACCAGTTACTTTTACTGTTGCCACTCCAGTGCACTTATAGGGACACGCCTTCTTCTAACAGTGTAATTAAGGCAGGATGGAAGACAGAAACATGAGAATAATCATATCCAAATAACAGAAACACACCTGCATCAGACTGATAACAAGCCTGATCAGATCAGGAGAAACACATGAAAAATAAATAGGTGCAACATCAAGTAACATGGTATATTAAAATTGGGAAAAGTGTGCATTTTTATGTGTGTAAGTAGGTGTTCTGTATATATGGTATGTGGTATGTACTGGATGTGCAGGCCTTGCGTAAGGCTGTACATACAGTGCTTTCAGAAAGTATTCATACCCCTTGACTTATTTCACATTTTGTTGTGTTACAGTCTGAATTCAAAATGGGTTCAATTGATTTTTTTCTCTCACACATCTACACACAATAGGCCATAGTGACAAAATGAAAACATGTTTTTAGATGAAAACATGTCCTTAACGATTACAAGCATACCCATAACAGGGTGCAGCCACCACTATGCTTGAAAATATGTAGAGAGATACTCAGTAATGTGTTGTATTGGATTTGCCCCCAAAATAACAAAGTTAATTGCTTTGGCACATTTGTTTGCAGTATTAGTTTAGTGCCTTATTGCAAACAGGATGCATGTTTTGGAATATTTTTATTCTGTACAGGCTTCCTTCTGTTCACTCTGTCAATTAAGTTAGCACTGTGGAGTAACTACAATGTTGTTGATCCATCCTCAGTTTTCTCCTATCAAAGCCATTAAACTCTGTAACTGTTTTAAAGTCACCATTGGCCTCATGGTGAAATCCCTGAGCGGTTTCCTTCCTCCCGTGAACAGAGTTAGAGTGGACGCCTGTATCTTTGCAGTGACTGGGTGTATTGATACACCATCCATAGTGTAATGAATAGGGATTTTCAACATCTGCTTTTTTCCCCCAATACTTTTATTTTTTAACCAATGGGTAAATCTTTGCGAGGCATTGGAAAACCTGGTGAAGGCAGACATGCACAACCCCTTTGTGGTTGAATCAGTGTTTGAAATTCACTGCTCGACTGAGGGACCTTACAGATCATTGTATTTGTGGGGTGCAGAGATGAGGTAGTCATTCAAAAATCATGTTAAACACTATTATTGCACACACTTATTATGTTACTTGTTAAGCAAATGTTTACTCCTGAACTTATGTTGGCTTGCCATAACAAAGGGGTTGAATACTTTATTGACTCAAGACATTTCCGCTTTTCCTTTTAAATGAATTTGTAAATATTTCTAAAAACATACTTCCACTTTGACATTATGGGGTATTGTGTGTAGGCCAGTGACAGAAAATCTCAATTTAATCCATTTTAAATTCAGGCTGTAACACAACAAAATGTGGAAAAAGTAAATGCTTGTGAAAACTTTCTGATGGCACTGTAGGCTGGGACAAACAGGCCATCAGCACATTAATCAGTGTCAGAGTGGATAGAACAGGTACCAACCGCACAGCTACCAACAGCACAGGTACCAACCGCACAGCTACCAACTGAGGACAGGCATTGGTTAGGTTTTCATTTCCATTCACACACCAAAACAGGCCCACTCACATTAATTCAGAGTAAAGACGTCCATTTCAGCACATGCCCAGGAAACTCATCCAATAAAGTATTTCACCTGAAGTTGCTGAGGGTCAATTCCTATTTAGGTCAGTTCCATACTTATAGCTTGATCTAAAACAATCCATTCAGGCCTGGGTGGGATAACTCTTAATTACAGCCCATACTACACTTGACATTTCACATCATCACAAACCTCAATATGAGACCAAGACTGTAGAACTCAACATTCAGATGAAGGGAAAAATTGTTTTATTGCTATTCATCTTTATAAATATATAATGCAGTTTGAATATTAAATCAATATTTAATATTTAAACAAAAATATTACAACAGATTCCTTCCCAAAAATCTCTAATAAATATTTACTTACATACAGAACATAAAAGAATGGGCTGTGTCACTTACGTTTCCATGCTGAGGATATGGAACAGAGGTTATAACTATTGACAGTCTGAACGGCCCGCTGTTTTGTCAAATGCTGGCAGTCCAGTGGTTTGGTCTTTGGACAGACAGTCTAGTTGTTGAACCTGCAGCCTGGCAGAGGTCCATGGTAAACCCAGCACTGCATCACATGTCAAAGGTCATGGTGCCAGCTCTATTAATGAGACTATATACCTGGAAGACGGAATGTTCTTACCAAGAGAGAACGCCACGCCAGGCCTGGGATAACTATAGTTTTAACTATGCTTTGTGGAAAGTGTTATTTTGACAAAAACTTTTTGAATACATATCCCAAATATAACTACTTTTTAAAACTATTTGAATACAGATCTCTGAAAGTGACTACTTTTTAAAACTATTTGAATACATATCTGAGAAACCAACTACTTAAACAAAATATTTGAATACAGATCTCAGGAAGTGACTACTTCTCAGAAACTTTTGGATTGGCTGTATCTGGAACTGCATGTTGAAGATAGAAATATAATGAATAGAAAACACAATCTTCTATACTATTCCAATCTATCTGACAGTCATATTTGATCAATACATTTCTATCTGAACATTCTGCTGAAAAAATGAAAAGCAAAAACGGCTATATTGGTCCACTAATACAGGACTAGTTAAGGCCCAGGGCCCGGTTGCATAAAACATCTTAAGTTAATTCCCCCCTTGTCTTTTCCCTTAAAGTTTCCTTAACTTTAAAACATTTTAAGGCGAATTTCCTCCTTAAATTAAGTTAAAATGTTAAGGGTGCCGATGAGGTCCCTTAAGTGCTGTATTAAGTATGGATACAATTATTCCTTAAGGGAAACACTTAAGATGTTTTATGCAACTGGGCCCAGTGCACTACTTTTGTGAGGAAAAAATAAATCCCTCCCCAAAAAAGATTGCAAACAGCAAGTTGGATGTTTAGCCAAAACAACTTCGAACCTCTTTGTCCATCTGGGGGTAAGTGTTCTTGTTTCAAACACACTATACCCTTCAAACTCAACTCTGGACCTCAAAGCCAGTTCCACTGCATGTTTTCATTGTTCCCCTCTGATCAGGGACTGATTTAGACCTGGGACACCAGGTGTGTGCAATTAATTATCAGGTAGAACAGAAAACTAGCAGGCTCCGGACCTCGTAGGGTAAGAGTTGAATACCCCTGCACTATACCATCTTTAAAGGGATAGTTTACTCTGAATACCGACTAAGATAATTGACTCTTGACAGCCCCAGCCCCATTCAACAGATAGCTGGGAAGGGGGAAGAGAGTTAGCTAGCAGCTACCAATCACCCAAACCACAAGCGAGGATTTGACATTAATAACAAAGCATGATTCATCAAGTCTAATTGAGCGTTGTATTTGGTTGAAGCTCTGGATGATTCACAGGCATGTACTCTCTCTCACATTTTCATAACACTTCCCAGAGGGCATACACTACAACACACCTTTGGATCATGTACTGTACTTTACAATTGTTATGCCTTGTGTGCCATTTTGTGAATCACACGCCCTGTAGACCTTCTGTATATCCCTAATCTTGTAGGGGAGACCAGGGTTGGTTTTCACACAGTATGGGGTTGGTTGTCACAGGGTTTTTCATTAGTTTTTCAGCAACTATTGAACCAATTTACGTTTTAGAAA